TTAAAAAAATATAATGTATATTTTTAGGTTATTGCCTTTTATCATTTGAAATGTTCAATCTTTCTGCAAGGGTAGGGCTTCTGCCTAGGTATCCTGGTGTCGCAAACACTGTTCAACTTGAGGAGAATGTGGAATGAGTGGGAGCTAACCTAAACTAGCTTAAAATTAGCTGTAGAAAATGTTTATCACCAAATTAAACAGGATGTTTATGATTACCGTTCCCTTTGGCAACTCTGTTAATTTATTCCTTCTCCCCTCTATAGTAGTGGAAGTACTGATAAAAGATTGGCATCTGTTGCAAACCTGTTACCTTTTTAACCTACCTTTTTTATGGAATTGAGATTTTATGCATAGTCAAAATTTTATTTTAAAAATTACATAAGATAGAGTGAAATTTTTGAAAAATTGGTCATTTTCAGAAAATTTTGTCTCAAATAATATCAGGCATGTCAATGAAATGTTTAAATATCAAGAATAAGAGAAACAAGAGCTTTTTTTATGACAGAAGGCTGACAAGGTGATTTTTTTTTAAATCAAAATTTCTTAAACTTCTTCAGGTTCAAATGTGGGGCCACTAAACTGCCTTCAGCAGGCCTCGGGTGGAAGACCCCTATAAAGTATTATTCAAAATGAACAAAATATATGCACATGTATTTTCATTTATAAATTGATATCAAATACTCTGAATACATTTGAGAACTGACCTCTGTTTGCATTTGCTTACTGTGAATCGGGTCACAGAACTACAGTCTGCAGAAAAAAGGGAATGTTTAAAATATTCTTCTTTATCTGTGATGGAAGATCACTAAACAAAATATATATGTATTAAAAGTAAAATATAAAGATACCAAAATATCAAATGGCTGTGTTGTTGAAACATTAAACTTGCAGGTTATAAAATTATATGTTGTTAAAATTTCCCACAAACTGAATAGTTAGTTAAATCTCATTATTCTTCATTATGCATTATAAAATTTTTGAATATACAGCTCAAAATTATAAAGACAGTTTTATGAATTTTAATTAATCTGAAACTCGTTTCTTTTCTGATTTGTTAATTACAAAGACCTAATGAACTAATAACACAATTTCATGTTCATTTACACTTCCAGCTGAAAACTCATATGATGTGGAGATATTAGGAATTCATTTTTAGAAGATATATCTAAGGGACGAATTCTTTGAAATGGTCTCATCTATTCCCCTTAAAATATTTTGAATCTTGCATCTTGGGAAATTCTTTCATTTTCTGATAACACTTATAAAACAACTCCAAGTAGCCCTGTACTTTATAGATATCAAAATTATACTGTCAATATGCATAAACTTAACTTTTCTCTTATTGTTATGTATAAGTTAAAGGTGATATTGATTAATTTGACTCCTGGATATGAATGAGACAGCATGGAGCATTATTTACTATAAAAATATATTTTTAATTTCACAAACAGAACAAAATTCATACTGGGAGCATTGTATAGCAGTCTTTCTTCTCCCAACGGCACCTACCAAAAGAGACTTTGAGGCGGGAGAAAACATAAAACATAATACAAGGATGAGCACCCCTTGCTTGATTGCTTAATGTGGTACATCTCTTGCTCATATCCATGAAGTGCTAAAAAGTATGCCCCCAGTGACGAAGTCACAATTACAAATTATAATAAATATTTACAATATATACAGAAAATGATGATATAATGCTTCAGTAGTGAAATATAGAAAATGAAGTACATTGTAATAAACATATGCTATACGTGATTATAGTAGGAACATGTGTGTAATACAAGGTATTAAATATAGTACGTGTTTGTACTCAATGTAGTCTGTGACTAAATGCTTGGGAAATCGAACTTTATGTCCACTTTGAATGGTAGATGTTTGATTAAAGTGTTGTGGGGAGGAAGCTGAAACAGGAAGAGGTAAAGACATGATACGAATAATAACATCTGGCAGGTGGTAAGCAGGTTTTTTGCGATCAGTTGAAACTGTAGTATGTTTTCCATTTACATCAATAATAAAATTCTTATCATTTCTGTCAATGACTAAATGAGATCTGTTATAAGGTGGTGTCATTAAAGGATAAACTTTATCAGATCTTAAAAATATATGAGAACAAGTTTTTAATGAGGGGTTTATAAAAATTTTGGGATTACTGTGTAGGGCATTAAAAATAGGATTTAAAGATCTCATTGTCTGCAGCAAACTGTTTACATATGCGGAATTTAAGGTCTGCTCTATGGCATCACCCATTATTTAGATTGGAAGGTAATCTTAATATTCTTCTTAATATTCTACTATCATAAGCAAGTTCAGCAGAAGTTGTTTTGACATCATCCTTAAAGACTAAGCATATGCTTAAGAGAACAAGTGGAAGAGCTTCAGTCCATTGTGCTGTGGGATGTGCTTTAAGGGTTGTTTTAAGATGCTAATGGAAGCGTTTGATAATTCTATTTTACTGGGAATGATAGCAGAGCTTCTTAATCCCGTTGCACCCAAACGTGCAAGTGAGTTCTCTGAAAAGATTAGATTCAAAATTTTTACTCTGGTCAGATGTAAGTATAACTGGGCATCTAAATCTGAATATCCAGCGATGTACTAAGGCACAAGCTGCTGTTTCCGCAGTCATGTCATTTGTTGGAATAACTTCTGGCCTGTTAACCGGTCTATGATATTTATGCAAAACTGTTTTCCATCAGAGGGAAGTAAAGGGCCTATAAAATCTATTTGTATGTGGGGAAAACGAGCTGAGCATGCATAAGAGAATTTATTTCTTTTCTCATGCCTGGCCATACAAAACATTTATCGATTAAATCGAGGGATGCTGAGATACCGGGATGGAAAAGAAATACAGTACAAAGTCCGAAATTTGAACTCATCGGGACTTTGGCGATTCCGGATTTGGGATTTTTCCGGATTTTAGATCATCAGTTTAAATCTAGTAAGATTGCATGTCGAAATTATAAAATTAAAAATCATCATGGATGTGGGATGCTGTATGTTCATTTTGTGTCTGTTTACTTGCATAATTTTTGTCTTTCCTGACTGATTTCCAGGCAGATGCTACTAGGGCTTTTGTGAGGTTATAGCTATATTTCTTGGAACATTCTAGTAGAATATATTAGTGATAGGGTCTAATAGGATAATTTTCTAATGTATTTATCTGTATTTTGTTTTAATATTGGCTGGAACTTTATTATAATAGAATCTTGTTCTATCTATTGATCTTGTTGAATTTTAACAAAATCTAGGCTTTTGTGCAATCTGTTGTTTTTTGCAGTCTGTTGAATATGTTATATATATGCCATATGAGTTAGCATATTTTGGATAAATTTGTACAGAAGAAATATTTTTTCTCCGTCCAAAGTATGATTATTTTTTTAAATCTTGTTGTAGCTAGTATCTATAATTTAGATAATTCTGATCATCTTTTTCAGGATCAATTTAAAGATGTGAGGAAATAGAAAAATTCTCTATTCATTTGTGTCTACTAATAAGTTTTATTTGGCAGTTTTGCTGATGTATTAACATGTAAACTATTTGTGTCTGAAATACTCAGTGTCATTTATCTTTCAAAATAATTTGCAGACCAGCACTAAAAATGAATTAATTTTGATTTGAATTTATAACTATTTTGTATTTTTTATCTTAATAATAGTAAAGTTTAAACAGAGGTATTGTTTACAATTATTTTAACTGCACACACTGCACATTTATTTAGTACTTTCAAGTATTTATACAATATACTGGTGTTTAGCATTGCAGTCAAATTCTTTGTTGGATAAATGAAAAGCTCATGAAATTAGTTTTTAAAGATATAAAGTTTACTGTCACTAAAGAAACTGCATTAGTATCTCTTAAGAATTCGAGGTTTCCTTCAGCCCACCTGGACACAAGTGTCTCTATAACCCCAAAGAAGGGATGCATTAATATCTGTATATGACTGATAGAAAACATCATAATAATGATTGAATACTTGTGTAAAGACAAATTCTCCTCACTTTAGCATATGTATAGAACTAGGCTGACAGTATTTCCATGAGATAAAAATGAGTACACTGGTATGACACAAATGTGTCAAGAATTAATGATGATAAAGAAGGATAATGGAAAACATAAAACATGTTAAATAACTCTTAACTTTTAGTTACAAAACCCATCAAACTAAATTTTGCCATGATTATGTTATGACTATTTCTTTAATGAAATTATCTTATGCAGTGTTTATCTCCTTCAGTGGCACAGATTTGGCCTAATAGTTTTCATTGCCTCAACACTTAATCTGCATTTCTCATTTGGTTGCATATTATTCATAAGGAAAAATATTCTTTCAACAGGTACTGTATTTTATCTGTTTTTGGAAAGAAAGAATTATATTACACAAAATGTTAATAAGCATGACAAATTTTCATTCATTTCAGAAAACTGTTTATCCTTCTATCAGATACAGGAACGTTCTCTGTATTTCAGAAAAATTCAACTGGCTCACAGTTTTTCTTTCTTTCTTTCTTTCTTCTTTTTTTCTTTCTTTTTTTTTTTTTTTTTTTTTCTTTTTTTTATTCTTTGAATACTGCTGATATCAATACAGACTAACTTCATAGTTGCAGATGTCAAATAATCAAACTCCATAGTTATTCCAGCATTAGTGATATTGTCATGTGTTGATAAATTATGAGAAATTATGTATGACTGCTTAGTAAAGGCAGATTTATAGCTTTTAATTAAAATGAGACAAAGTGACTTTTTGTCAAAATGATTAGATGACCAGGAAATGTGCAAAAAGCAGCATTGTCCCTTCAAAACAATATGTATAGTCAGCCCAGTAGAGCTTTTTATAATTCAAAAAAGTTATTAAAGTATGAATATTTTACTGTGTAAAGTTTTTATTTGGTATGTAATTATATTTATTTATTTATTTTTTACATATAGAGGATTCTTACTATTTCCTATATTAAGCAATTACATTTAAAATTAATCTTGCCTTTATTATCGCCATATTTCAGTGCACCGGCTGTGGAAAATAATAGTCCAGTAAAGAAAGTAGCAAAACGAAAACGAGTTAAACAGTTGATTGAAAGTGATGAAGACTCTAGAGACATTGAAAAGTCAATGGCAAAAGTAAGAATGTCTTAAAGATATTGTGACCAAATGTTTTTTTTCTCTGTATCTATTATTAAAGAAATGAGTTTTAAGCCATCTGATTATGTATTAAAATTCTCTTCTCTGATTTGAGTTATTATTTTCAAATATTAATATGTTTTTATTACCTGTTATTGTAGAAATGCATAAAATTAACAAACAAATGGTGATTTTTTTTAATTGAATACTTAAAAAAAAATCCTTTATGTGCTGAAAACTGAAATAAATAAATTCAAAAGTTTTTTTTTTTTTTATCAAATTGGAGAAATTCAAAAATTTCTTATCTCTTTTTAATATTATGTAAAGTCTCAAAAATTTCTTACCTCTTTTTGATATATTATGAAAATTCAACTCCTAATTAACAAAGGTAAGACAGGAGACAATATCCAAGGTTGACTAACTCAAAACCACAGGTAATCTGATGGCAGTTAAAAAACATAGGAGTAATAAATAACCCATGATATAATCAATGGAAAAGCGCTACTAATAACTTATCTGTGTTTTCAAGCAGTTTAATTTGGAGTATAAGGCTGTCTAAATTTAATTTGTGTCCAGGAGTTCTTTCGAGCAAGCACATCCTTCTCTCACTGTTTCTTCCTCCATCTATCTATGTTTCTTCTTCAGTTTGCAGTAAACCTGCTGTTCGTTTTTATTTGCATATTACTCGTGTATTTTGATAGGAATGTTTGCAGTTCTTGCACGTAATGTCATCAATGGAGGATTTAGTCTAATGCAACTGCAGCGGTTAGATGAAATTGAGTATAGTTTAAAACTGTCAAAATTTCAGCATTTTTGCAATTCAAAATAGAAAAAATGTCTGTTATTGATACTGATTTCTTACAAAATGTTATCACATTTGTGTGTCACGTCAAATATTATTAAATTAATTAATTACTATAATTATTGATTGAAATTAAGTTAATTAATTACTTTGAATTATATTTTTGCCTATCTTTTTATAGGTATCATATCTTGGTTCTAAAACAGAAAATGGGTGTAATTTAACAGATCAAAGTAATGCAATGGAAGTTGCTGAAGATGGTAAATCTCTGTTTGTTAAAATTAAGGGGATTTTAAGCTTCCAGCCATTAAAGCTGTATATGTAGTATTTTTGTGCTGTACAGAAATAGAACATTTCTACGAAATTTTTTATAAACTAAAATGGAATGAAATGGGAAAACCTTTGTGATTAATTTATATGGAAAATTTTTTTGAACTTTCTCAGACATGAAATGTAAGTTATTAAATCATATCAAATGAATTTAAAAATAATATTAGCATATAGCAAAAGTGATGTAATGAAAGACATGTAAAAAAATAATATGTGTGTCCCCTTTCCATAATAAATGACAGCGAGCATACCGAAGTGTTGAAATGTGGGTGTGACAAAGATCCATTAAGCTGAGCCATTGAGAATAAATGGCTAAGAAACAAGGAGGATTTATTAACGTCCTATTGTGATTTCAATCCACCATGCCCTGCATTTAGCTCCTATATTTGGTTACCTCTGTGTATCTTAAATTACAACAGTATTCTTTATTGCTTTACCAGGGTTCGTATGGTCCTTAAAAGTCTAAGTTTTTTGGAATCGATTTTTGGCCCTTAAAAGTCCTTAATTTCGGCCAAAATTGGCAGAAGGTCCTTAATTTTAATCACCTGAAATTTCTATCTATTTTTACGACTTTTGAGTGGGAATTAGCACTTTGGAGGAATATTTTTCGCAATTCGCTGACAAATATCGTTATCTTTTGAATGGGTGAATGCATTCATGGGTTATAATTTGTTCCTATTTCTAATATAAATGGTGGAACACAAGCATTTCGAAATTATTTCATTTTTTCTAGTGAAGAGCTCTTAAACAAATTTTTGCTTTTGGGAATGTGAATTCTTTTATTAAATTGCTCTAAATTTGGTGACTTATCAACATTTTGGCGATTTTAAGATCAGTTTCTATAGAAAATTTTGGTACTTTTCCGTTTCGCCGGCGCAAATCTTGCCAAGCAGACTTTATTGGCGACAACACACAGTATACAGATAAAAATTGTTGACAAATGTTAGTGCTAAAAACTTCCTATTTTGAAGGTATAAACATTTTAATGTCGTTTAAAATTTTGTAAAAAAGCCAAAAAATTTGTAAAAAGACATTAATTTAAGAACTGACTATGCTTTTATGGTACCACATTCTGATCCGCCGGTTCACATCACGTGACCACAGTGATCTCATCTCCGTAAACTACGCTACAAAAAATCTAAATTCACTCAGTAATTATCTACATTAATTTCAAGTTCAATCTTAATTTGGAATACAAGTTTAAATGCAAGAATTATTTCAATTCGTACAAATAGCTTGTTCAGAATTTATGTAAAACCCAGTGCATTATCATTAGAAATGATAACTTTAACCCTTGACTTTCCCTTTTCTATATTTTCGGCATCGGGTGAGCGGTGCGATTGCATCCTAATTCATTTAATTACCGCCCGCAAATGTCCTTAAGACATAAAATTGAACTATCTGGTAAAAATTCTATGTAATTGTACACCAGTATTGAAAGAAAAAATCAATCTGATAAGAAATGGCTGAAAATTGTTTTGAAAATGAAGAGTAAAAGATTACCAGCAAGGATATTCCGTTTGGCATCGGTTGTACCATTATTGACGACTTTATCGTCTGCGCCAGCAAAACGGAAAAGTACCAAAATTTTTAGTTCCGAGATCTGGGAATTTTTCAAAGATTTTTTTAGAACATTGTAACATTGATAAATTTCATTAAAATAATGGAAATGTATTGTAATTACATTTGAGAAGTAACATTAAAATAAAGCATTTTTATTTTTTGCTGTTGTATTATAAAGTTCATTTTGGTCACTTATTATACAATATTTTGAATCCGAAAAATAAGCAAGGTATAATGCTATAAAGCACAATTTACGAAACAGTTCTTAGCAAAAGCAAAATAGCTATATAATTAATTAAAAATGTCTTTTTAATTTTTTCATGGCAAGAGTTTTCTCATGTAATTGTCTCAGAATATTCAGAATTCTCAGAATGTGCAACAGTTTTCTCTATAAAATTAATTTTACCCTTTTTCGTATGTTTTTTTTTTTTTTTTTTTTCCAAAATATTTCTGGCTTTTTGCTGTTACCGAATTGGTAGGAGTAATTTTTCTTTAGGATTTTAGACATTGAAGCTTGGAAAGTTTAGAAAGACTTGAAGGCAAGATTTATAGGCCCAAGATTCTGGAAAATTCTAGAAAAATGTGGCAAAATTAAAAATGTCTTCATGGTATTAATTCATAATTCCTTACTTTTTGAAGAACGTCTGGAAGAACAATGAAAACATAATAGTTGAATGTTTTATTTCTGCTACTAGAATCTTTTTCTTAACGTTTTTATCTTCCCTTTATTTTCTCTACTTTTCACTAGACACAAGCATAAAATATCAAAAATGCTTCTAATCTTTTCATATGAACAGGCATTATAGAGAAGATTTTTTTTTATTAATAAAGAAATTGAAAACTGACAATTTAAACGATTCATCTAATATGTCTTAATGCATCATACACAGGGATGGCACTAGGCATTTTCTAACCTGATACATTCTCTGTGGATCCTAAATTCTGCTGCCTGGTGCCTTTCTAAATTCTGCTTCCAATGCTCTGTTCTAAATTCTAAAATTTTCACATTTCTAGATTTTGTTGCTCTCGATATGTTACTCTTAAATAAACTCTTATCTAATAAACTCTTAGCTATACCTACCAACTTTTCTGCAAATCCATTAGATTTAGGATATCGAGGACTGCTAGTGATTATTTCAAATCCCCAATCTCTTGCAAAACTCTTCATTTTCCAACTATTAAATGGTACGTTATCACAAATCAAAGTTTTGGGTATTCCATGTGTTGCAAATATTGATTTCAATCTACTAGTAACTTCCACTGCACTTTTATTTTTTTTAGAGGAATTATGTCTAACCCATTTAGTTAAAGTAACAGCATATTACTAGGTAACTTTTCCCCGCATACTCACAGATATCAGTACCAACCTTTTCATAAGGTAAACTGGGAATTTCATGAGAAACAAGAGTTTCTTTTACTGTTTGAGGCCTGAACCTATCACAAATTAGGCATTTGAAAATCATATTCTCAATGTCACTGTTGATTAATGGCCAAAATAGTACTTGTTGAGCCCTAGCTTTTGATTTTTTAATCCCACTGTGAGCTTCATGCAATAATGTTAATATACACTTTCTTAATGCAACAGGTACGACAATTCGATTATTAAAAAAAACTAAATCTTGTTCAACACTCAACTCATTTTTAAATTTAAAATAAGATCTTGCTTCTTTAGGAACTTTATCAACACTCAAAGGCCATCCATTTTGCCAATATTCTTTCACTAACATTAACCCTTCATCTTCTAATGTAGCTTTCTGAAATTCCCTTTTCTTACTCTCAGACATTTGCAGTTGTTTTATTAGTGTATGAACAATCTCTGTCATATCCATGTTTTCATTTTTGTGTGTATCAATAAAGGAACATGACAGTAAATCTGCAATATACATATATTTCCAAGGCAAATATTTAAGTTATATTTTAAGAGCTTAATTAATTCACCAGTTATATGTTAGTTTAGGGATGCACAACCTGTGTTCGCCAAGACCTTTTCAAACTTTAGTTGTGATTTGACACATTGGTTGTCTCTAGAAAAGGTTGCGAAAAAAAAGCCACTGCCCTTCATTACTCATTCTACTCTGTCCTCGCAAAGTGAGATTTGGCACTGAGCCAAGTTCCCGGCATCAACCAAAGAACATATCCATTGCCTGAACACTCAAATTGCTCCTAGCCTATAGGACCAACACCTGTAGAAGATTGAGAAAGAGTCTGTGGTATGACATAGCACGAGTGTGTTTGTTCGCATATGATAGTAAAGAGAATAATATTTGCTCGGATCCGAAGTGGTGCATTCATTTGCTTGACATCGTTGTACTTTTGGCTTCATGACTATACATTGTATTATCACTTGTGTGTTTATTTTTCTTTTTGAGACCGCTAAGAAGTTTCATATTTTGAATATTTCACTTTTTTGTTTAAATATTATTGTGAAAGTGGAACCTATGTAGAATTTTTGTAATTTTTGTTCCACATGATTTTGATACCTGCCATGATGAATGGATGCAAAATGAAAAGATAGTTAGTGGACGATATCAGGAAATTTTCAGAGGCCTGGACTTCAAAATACTTTTTTGTGCAGCAAAATAATAGAATTACATGCTTGATATGTAATTTTACGATTAGTGTTTGCAAGGAGTATAACATTAAGCGACATTATGACATGAAACACTCAACATTTTCAAAACTTGAGGAAAAGGATCGAAATCGTAAAATCAAATCCCTTCGCTGTTCTTTCGTTGCTCAAAGGAATGTATTTACAAAGGCATCTTCACAGTTCTGTCGTAACTGTGTTGAAGTTAGTTTGGGAATTGCAGCCTTAATTGCTAAAAGTGGTCGCCCATTTACTAATGGCAATTTTGCAAAGGAGTGTATATTGTTGGCATCTGAGAAAATATGCCCTGAAGTTATGAAGAAATTTAAAAATGTAAGTCCCAGCAGAATGGCAATTCAAAGAAAAATTGAAAATGTATCTGATGATGGTAATGAACAATTACATATTGCTGCAGCCAAGTTTAAGTACTGTTTTCTAACAGCTGATGAGTCAACAGACATTACTTCAACAGCTCAGCTGCTTTTATTTGTTAGAGGAATTTCTGAAAATTTTGAATTGAGTGAAGAACTTGTTGGAGTGAGCTCAGTTGAAGAGGCAAACAACTAGTGCTGATATTTTATCTTCCATTTTAAATTTGTGTTCTGCACATAATTTTGATACTAACTTGTTAGTGTCACTACTGATGGAGCTTCAGCAGCCATGATTGGAATTCAAAATGCCATGGTGAGTCTACTGAGAAACCATTTGGATGATTGGGGCAAAAATTTGCGTGAGTACTCACTGTATCATGCACCAAGAACAGCTATGTTAAACTAGGAT